GCATGCAGGAGTGAAAGTCCTTTAAAAAAAGGTCTGGATAAGGTTTGTTCAGTTCTTTTAAGTATCAATTTACATTTTTGATTTTTAACAACTCTATGTTTATGTTTGATGATGAGGTGATGGCTGGGGCATTTTTTACAAATGGAAATGGAATATGAGGATTTTTTGGAATTCTTGCCATAAATGAAGAAAATGACGACACATATTGTGCCCCCTGTTCGTCTTTTTCTTAAATCAAAATTTTAAACAATCTTCGCGAAAAACCAAATATTTTAAAAATAAATGACGAATGGCAAACACGGGACTATTAAATGTCTAATGTCTATGCATTCTACTAAAGGTCTATTATTGTGCACTGCAATCCACGATGCTAATTTGTCAAATTCTTTACTTATAATGATAGACCATTGAATTAAAGCGTCCATTCCCACGATTGTAATTGCACAGAGGCTGGGTTTCTGGCTTGAGCAAGGATCGATCATTAAAGAGAACCACTTCTTGACACGTGAGTGAAAATGAATGCTGAAGATGAACAATGAAAGTAGAATAAATTATTTCCATCTCAAATTATAGTCGCAACATAGTCATGTAACAATCATTCGTTTTTTAGACGCAACTTATTCGACCAGGAATACAATTCAACGTTAAAAGAGATCAACACTTTTGCCTCGGAATTTGTGAACATTCCAAAAAAGTCTTTCGACAATGCACGATCGTATTTTTATGGAATAGCTTCTTGATGCGATGCAATCGTTTTCAGTAGGCAGGTGTTTTCTTCTTATAATATATAAATGAGATGTCAAACGGCTGAATCTTCTATATTCCTTTTATCTCACTGACATGAATTATGACATACTTTAGCTTTATCAAACTCTGAGTTGCAACCTGTTTTACGCCGGAAATATATAAGGTTCCCCATAGTTTAGTAATTGGTGGCCCGATTAAGCTGCCAATAGATAGCACAATGAAACATTGAGTATAATATGCACATGACACGCGCATACTTTCTTTTCAATCTGCATTTTATCACAGGAAAATAAAAAAATGTATCAAACGGATTTCGTTTTCAAAAATAAAACTGAACGTAAAAGTAAATTGAATGTGAAAGGGATGACCGGTATAGGCGGGTAGGAGTTCGAAAGACATCAAACAATTGAGACGTATAAGACTAACGAGTCAGTCATGCCACGACTACAGACATTCATCGAGTCTGATGAGCTGTAGAGATATTCATGTGAGTGGTGGCGAGATATTCATTGTATATTCAATAGATATACAATGAATTTCATTGTATATCTATTGTACTCCGCAATTAAGCCATCATCAGTCGCGCAGTTTAATCGCATATCGGATCACAACTTGGTAGGAAGTGGGTGTTGGAGCTTCTATATATTTTCTTGGGAGCTGCATAACATTTTACCGTATTGATTAGACAATGCCATCCCAAAACCTTTGAGTCGAAATTTACGATTAATCGAATCACTGCGATAGAATGATTAGATGACAATGAATGTTAGCGACTCTTCTTACCGTAGTCTTCCTGGCGTCTAATGTATTGTATAGTTCTCAGAAGTTAGTAAACACTTACATTTTTCAGATAACTGCGAGCAAGAAGAATGTTTAAACCAACTCACACAGGCTATCACACATGACAGGCTAACACAAAGACCCATTCTGCTCAAGGAAAAACAAAGGCCTGTTGAAAAGGAAGTCCGTGGAAATCAGTATGGTTTTTATTTCTCAACCTCAGGAATGTCATCTTGTTTGATAACACAATATGATAGCCTTAGTTTTTTTTTCATTCGCAGAAATGATGCTTGAAAAATTAACGATGGAAAGTTTCCTGGTATTATTCGCTCGACGACACTTCATTTTGACGGAACCGGTTTATAATGCCTTGGATGATATTCAATTATTCAACCATCCCGACTTCTGTATGGTAGGTATACTTAAAATATAACGAACCTAAGGGAGAAGGAGCGTGTTTTCTGTTTTTCGCCGACATCATTCAACTTAAAGTTTTTAGAAGATTTAGATGTTTTAAAAGAGGTCCTTGAGAACTGCATCTTACTAAATTAATAAATATAAAGCAACTTCAATTATTAGTGCAACATTCAACAAAACACGTAGAAATGGTAAGTGATTCAAGGTAGTCCATGGCTTGTCATGTCTGATGAGGTGAGCGTTGATTGGCTAGTGCTGCCAACTATAATAATAAGAGTGCCTTTTAACTTCCTCTTATATTTCCATTACATAGTCATTATCACTTATTGTAACGGGCAATTGCCAAATCATCTTCATTAGTGTTTCGTTTAGCGATGTAGTTTTTCTATTAATTTAGATTAATTTAATTATTTGTTAAGCACAGGCATATGTCCACATTTTGATCAAGATATGAAAGTCTCAAAACAAACTTTTAAAAAACTTTCTAGCTTTTAACTTATCGTGACCATTTCTAATGTATCATAGGTATCGAATATCGATCCTTGTATGCAGCCAGAACTCCAAAACCATGTTCTTGCTGCATCAGTATGCAATTGAAAGTTATGGATATGATCCCTCTATCTACGTCTACTCAAAACCATGAATCCCAAATAAGACAGAATATGGAGGAACATATAACTAGAATGATTAAGAACAGGTAAATGTGTTTCAAGTAAATCCATATACTACTCTTGGACGCGAAGAGGATTAGGAGGATTATGAGATATAAAGAATATGATTATGTTGTTAGCATTAATACTTAGCGGTTGATGACACCTGCTTCAAGATAAAACTATTCAGACGTCTGTTTTGCCATTGAAATGTAAACTTAAATGTATATTTTTGAGTCAATAGATTTGTTAACATAAAGTTGTATCTTTAGTGTATGTGATTTGTGAAATATTCAAATAGATTGATTAGGAAAGGAGCAAAATCGATTAGGATGGTATTGGTAACGGAGTGATGAAAAACAGTCGAAGCGTTCATCAGGGGCAACAAACTGAGAAAGTTTGAAGGATATGTTGATTTGAAACTTTTACAAAAGCAATTTTTATAGATTATTTCTCCAAACACAGATCTTAAACCATGACAATATTAATGATATTATAAAAGTGTTGATTAAGTTTTCTTCATTTTGAGGAAGACCTGTCCGTAAAGCAATCATCGTATTTGTTTTATTACAATGACAAAATTTCATGAGAACCAAAACCCCTACAGAAGAGCAAATGGACAGAATTGATCATTGCAAAGGACAAAAACCAAAGCAGGACCAATTGAATTTGAGAAATTTGCACTTCGCATTTAGAGTTGGAAGTATAAGATTACTCACAGGAGCTGAGGTGGTCTGGAATTGTTTTCTCTCAGTCTAGATTGAGCTAGCACATCACCCGACATCGCCATAGTCGCCAGAATGAACTTCGGGAGCTTTTCTCTAACTCCTCCCGTCTGAGTATTATTGATGTGTCGGGCTAACATGAAGCGCATCTCGTTTGCTGTATGCATTCCAGTTGCTGGAACAGTCTTTTCATCCTCCGACATCTTACCCCTTGTTGCTTTTAATTATCTTTTGGGGCTTGGATTAGGGTTCGGATTAACAACTTAATAAATAGGCGCTGCAGTGTTGCTATATAGTTACGGGTTTAACGACATTAAATAAATTATCGTTGCTTGAAAAGTTGAAAAGTCACACGTCTGTTATTAGCATTTGTAGCAACAAAGCTCAACAAAACGACAGGACAATTATTTGAAGTGTACAATACGAATAATACACAATGTCAAATGAAAGCGTATATAGTCAAGTTTCCTTTTTATCCGCCAGATTTGCATTTTCCTACAGGTAATTACGCCGGCTTTGGAAACGCCAGTACAGTGAACTTTCTTTGTTACGGTTTTAAACGGTTTTAAGTGAAACATAACACCTCATAAGGTAGTGTAACATATTAACATGATCTTATTTTAAGGTCTTGCAACATGTTAACAATTAACACGACCTTATAATTTATATGGTAGAGTAAAAAATAAAATTATTGTGATCACGACGAAAAATACAAATGGATAATAACACTTTGATATCAAACATCGCCGTCTTTATGTAAACGATATTCCTCTATAAGAACTCATTATAAGTTGTTTAGTAACGACTCCTAACAATAATCATTACTTAGTCTGTAATATCAGACTCCTCACAATAATCATTACTTAGTCTGTAACATTTGGATATCATATAAGTGTTTATATCAGCACAATTCACAAACCTTGTGTCAGGGTCAGGGTCAGGGTCAGGGTCAGGGTCAGGGTCAGGGTCAGGGTCAGGGTCAGGGTCAGGGTCAGGGTCAGGGTCAGGGTCAGGGTCAGGGTCAGGGTCAGGGTCAGGGTCAGGGTCAGGGTCAGGGTCAGGGTCAGGGTCAGGGTCAGGGTCAGGGTCAGGGTCAGGGTCAGGGTCAGGGTCAGGGTCAGGGTCAGGGTCAGGGTCAGGGTCAGGGTCAGGGTCAGGGTCAGGGTCAGGGTCAGGGTCAGGGTCAGGGTCAGGGTCAGGGTCAGGGTCAGGGTCAGGGTCAGGGTCAGGGTCTGAGGTCTGAGGTCCTGGGGACTGAGGTCCTGGGGACTGAGGTCCTGGGGACTGAGGTCCTGGGGACTGACATCACTGGGGGTCACAATTTTTGTCCCGAAATAATTAAGTTTGAGGTTCACAGGCACTAGATAGTGCACAAAGTTTTTGGCCACAATGCTCTGGGCGCGACGTATTTGAAGTGAACAATCTGGAGCACGCTGCTTAACATCTTAGGCACAATAGTCCACTACTGGCTACTGCACTTCACTTCTTCATTACCACTTACCACCAACATACTGCACTACTAGTATATCATTATCCCAAACTGATGTTCACTCAAGACAATGGGGAGTGAGAAATAAAATTCGACCGGAAACAGCCGATAACAGGTAAGTAGATAAGAAATCTCCCGGTTACACTGGAAAGTTTAATGGCTTAATGGTAAAGGGACCTACAAGAAACCAACCTGTCTGTCCTGTTAGCGTTAGGTATGGGGAGGAAGCCGTGTTTAGGAGTAACGAGAGATTTTCGCTGCTCCAGCTCCATGTCAGCACTGACACACTCCGCCACATACCGAGCTCGTGAGAGACAAGGTGACCGAGAAACGTGCATACTCGCCTGACCAATCAGCTTGCAGTATTCCACACACGTGGGCTAACCTGACCAATAAGCGGGCAGTGTGAAGGCGGTTTCACAAGCCAGGGCAGTTCGTCATCAGTCACTTTTACATCTACAAGCGTTTATTGTCAGGATTTGCAACACAAGAGGGGATCGAGAGATCACAAGGTTAGCTTATAAATGCTATTGAACCAAAGAGAAGCAAAATAATGAACCGTTTTTAAAATAATGGTATTATTTAAAATTTTCAAACTCTCGGTTAAGAGTTTGATTTCTTCATTCAAATCTTTGGAAGCAGACAAACGTGATTCTTATCCTGAGCACTCCATAAGTCCATAGTCCATGTGGGTGATTATGCAAGATGATATAAAGATTGAAATAAGCTGAAACCCATTACTGTCCATTACATTCTGCCTGGTGAGTGGCGAATGAGATTTGTTGGTTCATGTTTATTAAAATATTAGTTTGTTCTATACCCAAACTATATTTAGCTTCTCTACAGTTCATTCTCCCGGAAATGGCAGATCTCCTGTCATTCCCTAACTAGTGCTCTAAATCTAATTGACTACTGACTAGAGTCTTACTTAAAATTTAGAATTTAGAATTATATTTAGCTGCTAGTCCAGGCTACAAGTTCGAGTACTGGCTCTAATAGGATATAGAGCGTGGAGAGGGGAGGTAATGTCCCCTACCGTTAAGCCATTATTAAGCCACAAATCTGGGAAAATTAAAGAATTAAGCAGTGTGTTTTGGGCGTGCAGTGCCAGTAGACTATAGTGTACAAAACTAGGGTGAGAAGGTGGGAGAGAGCAGAGCTAACAAGACCCAAAATTACCTTATATGGCAGTGGTTACCGTGGTAACATAACCTTATAAGGTCGTGGTGCATGTTTGGAGCGTGCAGCAGGCTGGTGTGTACAATACGAGGGTGGGGGGGGGATGAAAGAGAGAGAGCGGTGTAAAGAACAATACTCTTACCCCCTCACATTGTACATTGTACAGTCACCACCCACCCACCCTCGTAGAGAAGATTTGCAACAACCCTCTCTGGCACAATGGTTTTTTGTAATTACCAGACCCTGTATAAGTATATCAATATGTATGTGTGGGTAATGAGAATCTTACTATAATCTGGAAGTAATAATAAGTGAGAGGGAAAGAAAGGGAGTGAGGGGGAGAGATAAAGAGAGAGAGATAGAGAGAGAGAGAAAGGGGGAGAGATCAGGTAGAGAGAGAGAGAGAGGGGGAGCGGGGGAGAGAAAGATGGCGTAGTGGGCAGCCAGGAATTATATAGGTGTGTATGCGCACGCGCGTGCAATATTTCATATGTCCCCGAGGGCGCTAGCCCGAGGAGGACATATTTTCGTATAGCACGGAGGGCCCATCGGGCCCGAGTGCTATACGATTTTTACGCCCGCGGGTCGAGGTGATGTGGATTATATCCACCAGCGGGCGTATTACAGTTAATATATAATTTTATAAATAAACAATGGAGCTTGTTAAAAGTTAACTCTAGAAAAGGTCGCCACTAATTGTTGTAACCATGGTAACACGTCACGTGTTCAATGTAAGCCAATCATAAAGGGCTGTGTCGTATATAGGGGCTGGAGATGCACTGCATTCCTGGGCCGTGGGAATATCAATAATGAATGTAATGTCAGTGACGATGAATATCAATAATATAGGGGGATTATAGTGCTGATGTGTATTATGTAGTGTGTTATAATAACTTTGATATAAATCAAAGTATCATGTCATCTGCTCACGAGCTGCATGAGCAGCCCTACCGGACACAAAAATAAAATGTATTATATAGTCAATATCAGTCTTTTTGGCCAGACAAGTTGAAACAATGTAGTTAACAACCTACTAGTACTTTGGTATAAGGGCATATTAATATTAAATCTGGTAGCCATTTTTTGGCCATATTATGATCATGATCATAGTCTGATTTGATAATAGATATTCCTCTTACTATAATAAGCAAAGTATCTGATCAGTATTACAGCTACACATGAATTCATCAACTAAGGTTGTGAATTTTCTGAGGAACGAACTGAAGAGAAGAAGAAAAGTGCTGGCTTAGTGAAGCCTCAATATATTGCAAAACAAAGTGTGACCTAGAGGCACTTAGGTAGATATCAAGAAGCACTTAGAGGCTGTTAGAGGCTTAATTAAACTAATACACGGGAATGGGCTTATTAAGTTATTATTTACTTATTAACTTGTACAATTTGCAGAGGTTTACCGATCATATGTTAGTAATATTATTATTAAACGTTAGCTATCTCGAGGTTGGAGAGTATAACTGCCAGGTTATATATAAAGGCTGTATTATATGTACATGTAAAAAGTAGTAGGTGTTCAGTGTTCACGGTACTAGTTGCTGCATTCCTATTATAGAGAAATTCCAGTGCCTCAGGTCTTATAGAAGTGTGAATTGTTGGACACACAGTTGAAATGAACCGAACCAATTTAGCTTTAACTCGGAGAAAGAGAGTTCATGACACATTACTGGAGCAATTATGCAGTTCATTACAAATAATCTAACGTGAAAAGCTCTACGTTTTTACTGTTTCAACAACACAAGAGGATAATTTGTGAGACACTGCATTTTTACCAGATCAACAGTGTATTTATATTTCGATTGGTAGATTTAGCCGCTGGAAATCAGGACTTTCATCACTCTCTGCAGAAGAAACTCGTAATTTCAGCACATAGTGAACATGAACAAAGGTCTAAGATTGAAGCTATTCTTATTTCTAATAATAATCTGCTTTGTTGATCATATTATATCATGGCATAATTATTCTCCGAACCATGAAATGATGAAATCAGAATTCTAATTTGGGAACCGATTGTTCAGTTTTATAAACGAATACAGTCGTATGCATTTTGTAGTGTAGTAAAGTAGTGAAGTGGATTGTACTTCAGTACAATCCACCAGTTACCGAACTTTTGAGGGGGTCCCGGACCCCAACCGCCAAACGGTGCCCGCGGGGCAGCCACGCCCATATAGGATTAATGATGCGTTCAGAAATCTTAACGATTCATTTTCTGTGATTTAGCAGAAAACATTTTGCGTTTTCAAATAAAATAACGTGATTTTGTCCTAGCAACACGAAAAATCAGTAGGTATTTTGATTTAAAGTTGCAGGCCTCAGCAGAATATGTAAATGATATCTTATGGTGGATTTTTGAACGGATTAATCTTTGAGTGGTCAAAATCATGTGCAGTCCTAATTATTAATAAATTATGAACATAATAAAGGACAAATTGCTTCTTAAAAGTCTTTAATAGAATTAGAAAGACGATCATGAGCCACTGTATTTAAATGTATCTTGATCAAATTTAACCCAATTGTACGAAAATTCAAACGAACTACGCAGTGCATAAATTAAACTACAACACCAGCGCTTGAATTGACAGAACGGCGTATTAATATAATCCCCGATTTGTAGACGCATTCGGTCTTGTATTATTATGTTATTACGTAGTTACATCGACTACCCTTTCAAAGCTGAAATGGTTTCCGTTACTTCTTTGTCTCACTCCCCGACCTTAATTTGAAAGTAATCCGATTGAAATTAAAAACTCTAATTCTAAATTGCTAGAGAAAGCACTATTTTAGTGACCAATACGCTAGTCATGATGACTTATGTATATCAAGCAAATATGTTAGTCTGGAGTACATACCATGGACATTGGACAATTCATATTTATAAAGAAAATTTTCTGGTGTAACAGTTGCAGGGAACAGAAAAATATGAAGCTCAATCTTGCCTATACAGTTGAATAATTGTACTTAATTTTTATGTCTTTACCGTCAAATTCCAAGTTTCTTACTTTAAATACCTTCTTCACGAATTCCAACTTTCACACTTACGTATTTTCGATGTTTTTTATCGTAATCTAATTCAAACTTTTACTCCAAGCTAAAGCTACCCGGATTCCGGAAGGGGTTAGCGAAGCTTAAAGTGGCGACAAGAGCCTAAGAAAGCCTTACTATCGTGGACACTCATAGTAACACATCCGTAAACACCTAGTATCTCAGCCGCATATTATAAATAGTAAGGAAGGATTACTAGCAGGCGTTCAACATTTCGGGGTATTCTATCCTGGTTTGCGTTATATTTGGACGATACGAATATCAATGGAAATTGGAATGGACTCTCATAATATCAGGCCTTAACAGTCTGGAGTCCCTGATCAAGGCTCTAGTTTTGGCACTTCAAATTCTATGCATGATCGCTAATAAAAATTAATTCTTATCGTATGCAGACGCACATGTGATGCGATGCATGGGTCGCACAAAAGAAAACATACAGATTTTCATTTTTCAATTGAATCTTACTCCCGATTAAATGAATAAATTGGTTTATTGATGGGGAGTAATGATCTGGTATAATAGTATTTTAGTATTTTGATTCAACAATAACCTTTGGAAAATCCATTAGAATTACATGCTTTTATCTGCACAAACGGAAAGGTGGATAGCTAACTTAGAGATATCAACGTAATTTTCTACGAAAGGTACATTTTTGCTGAAATAAATGTTCTTTGACTCTATTCTACGCTTTTTATTTGGACAATGCTTGAATTTGTACGAATTCTACGTGCTTTCCGTTAATAAGCTGTTGCATTTAAGTCCATGAAACCAAATTCTAGCAAACAAGAAATCATACTTTGTAGTGAATATCACTTTCAATGGCATATTCTCAGTAATTATGCCTTAAAGTTAAACGACAAACTCGATTCTTTGGAGTAACCATTGACACGAACCGCTAACGGAATTTTCATCGGGCTAAAAGTACTAAAATTAACAACTTGGCTGCCTGCTCGAGCTATCAAATAGTATCAAAAAATGCACTTCCATATCTCTTTACAAAAAATATTTCAATATCATACCCAATTTGGAGGTCATCTTTTTTACGGAATTGTCTTGGAAGAATTAACCGGAGCATTTTATTAAACAATTGTGTTCAGAGTATAAAAATGTGTGTCGCACTATGTTTAGTAATAAAGAAGCATACTAAGGGCAAGCCAAATTTAAAACTAGTAAACCCTATGGGAGGGAAAACCTGGCCCTAAGTTCGAGGGGAAAAGCATATTAA